TCCACTCTCAATCAGAGTTTGGGGCCTTATTCAGCAAAAGCACAAGGGGAGAGCGGTAAGATAAACCTTCGGTTGGGATCCTATGATTGCAAGTCAAGCGGCTTCATCTCAGCGAATCCCGCTCACACTGAACATGCACAAACCCCTTGGCTCTTGTAACCTTTGATATTCCGAATGGTTGGCCACAACCATACTCGAGACTAGACATGAACTAATTGGGTGGTCCAATAGGGTGTCCGCATATTTATCCATTAACGTGCGGTTTCTTTCCGGGCCAAATGGGGTAGAAAAGGGTGGGTTGTAAGCTGAGTGGCCCAGTACTTTCATGGGAGTACCAACGCCTCGGTATTCCGAGCTTCGGATGAGAAATGGATTGCACAGCAAGGTGGCGCTCACTGGATCCACCTGTCGCTAGATCAACTGCTTGGTTTATCGGGCTGGAACTTATGGGTCTTTGTCCTACTTTATGAAAATGGACCAACCCCTTGTTTCATGACCGAATATGATAAACACCTATTGTTGAAACAACTTCTTCTTACTTCCCCAAGAGGATCAGGCCTAGTTGCTAAACTAACCTTGCCCGACCTTGCTTTACATCGATCTCCGCCAGTAACCAACCGCCAACTGCCTTGCCTCAGTGCTCCGTGGGTCCCGGGCACAACGGCTTTGCGTGATGCGCATTAGCGAAAGTGCCTGAGAATCGGTGCGCTCGAGATGGCACGCTCTGAGAAAGGGCACCACCACTTTTAGAAGGCCCTTGATTTTCCCAAATGGGGATTGATTGACCCTAATCATTTTGATCACCACTCGTTTTTGTTTGTTGCCAAACGAGCACGCGGCAACAATTACATACACGACCCTGGGTGTTTGGAGACAAATCATGTCAATCTGTTGGAAAGGTATCTCGATCCAAAGAACCGGAATGCGACTGTGGCCCTTTTCCACAAGATCAACGGAACGAGCTATGACATAAGTGGCTCAATCATCACGGGTCCTGCGATGGTTCGAAAACATGCCTTGCATGCCGAACTTGGTGAGTCCGTAAGAGTTGTGGTGGGCCAGGGCGAACAACCAATCAGGGAGAGGAACTTGCACAGCATAGGTCAAACACATCTTCTCTGCTCAAGTTGCACTAATGGCTGCATCGTCAACCTGAAGAAGCAAAGCCAATCACTGAGGGCCCCCGCGAGGCCGCAAATGGATCTAGATCCATGATCTCGGCACGAGACACCAGAAAACAAGGTCTCAGTTTTCCGCGAGAAAACCGGGCGAAGCGGCGAAGCAGTGTGTGCTCTTGCCGTTTGAACGATCCACGGGGTAAACAACACACAACAAACAAGCAGCAGCCAAAGCGATGGAAATGCCACAAACAACACGCCAAAGACCACGCTCCAACCCCAAGCGGCCGTCTCTCTCCGTGAACTGGACTTCGGGACCCTGGCGGCAGCGGGGCAAAGTCCTGGAGCCGGCTGAAACCACCGGCCAATCGCTGTTGAGATCTCGCGAAGCGAGGCATTGTCAACAGCAACCCCCTATTTTGGACAAGGCTGCTGATTCGGGTTTGTGCCAAGCTCTCCGGGGAAAACACAAATGCAAGAAGAGGATCACAAGGCCAGCAGCTCTGCGCACTTCTCAAAGGCCTGTTTACCTAGAGTCCGGCAGACTATCAGCCTGTTCCCACATAAGAAGCATGCCCTCCCGCCAATTTAGAGGACCCTTTAGCTTCTATCTTCGTTCCTCCGCAAAAAGATTCCAGGAGTCACTTCCCTCTCCCAAATTCCAATAGGCGAGCACATCAAACACAACTTCCAACTCCTCAGTCCTCTCGGGCGAGACAATCGCCCACGCGCACACATCTCGGCAGCCTGCAGGTCGCGTGTGGGGTGCGAGCAAGCTCCAAGGCTTGTCGCAGTCGCGACTCGTTCCAAGAGCAGGATCACTTGTGCCCTCCCCCCAAGAGCCACCATACCGTGTTTGTGTCAGGACAAAAGTGTCCGCACCGAGCATCAAGTTACCCCATTTGGAGTTGCCATCTGAGCCGCGGCCAAATCTGTTGACTTTGCGTTCTACCAACATGCTCAGAATGATACGTAGTATAGCCCTTGCCAGAATCCAGAAGAAGCCATGAAGTAGACAAATGGCCAATGGGCGTTTTAGGCGCTTCTTGTTTAGCGGTGGGTCATGCCATCCCCTGAACAACCGCGACTTATGGTTGATTGATTGCAGCACATGGAAAAAGGCTTCAACCCCCCCGGTGCCAAAACACTGCGTGTACCGTTGACCCTCCTCCCGTGTCAAAAATGCACCCACCATCAATCATAGGTGCTTGACGCGTGATATCGAGGGGGTTGGGAAGAACGGTCCCGATAACAAAGCGCACTACAATCTGGGGAAGACCTGGGGAACCTCTAACCATCTCTAACCCATCACAATTCCGAATCGCAATCCGTTCGTTGTGGTTGCGGACTTAGGTTGGCCCATCAACATGACTGATTCTCCGGCGGCCCATAGAGGTCTTAGGTATGGCCCTATCTATCTTACCTAACTCAAAATCGCCCAAGCCGTAGGTTGAAGGGAAACCCAACTCCGAAACCGTCAATATAACATCGCGATCCTAGTAGATGTCTCGAAATGGGGGAACTTTGTTTTGGCTTTTGATGGGACACACCCAAAGCAAGTGGGGAATTGTTCTGCCCGTGGCTGGCAAATCAATTGAATAAATTTGAACTGGGAGTGCCACAAAGGACCGTCCCATCTTTGACCGGATGCTTGGTTTATCTGAAGTTTCTAAGCTTTTAGACCGCCATAGATACGCATCAGGGTTTGGCGGGAAAAGAAGCTTCCAACCCCTTTTGAAAAATATGGTGTATTGAGGGAGAATGATAAACAAACAGAGGGACTGGACACATCTGCAAAATACGAATCCCCTTTTGGCTTCTGTTAGGAAAGGTCACACAAAAATACTCGGTCCTTTTCTCACGACATCCTTCTGAGTATTGTCTTTTCTGGTGGTTGATAGGGTTTTTTTTCTCACTGAAACCTCAGGTCATGATCTGTTTCTTTTCCGTTTTTAACATATCCTTTTTGGAGAGCCGGGCCCGCGTCAAGAGGACCCTGCAAACGGGTGGGTTTTTCCCTTCTAGTTTTCCCTTGGTACGCCACACGCGGTAGCCCCCCCCATAAAAAAAAAAAAAAAAAAAAAAAAACACCGCACACTCCATGGCCATGGCTCACTCAACCAAGGCCCAGGCGCGGCAGGTCCTGGGAGCAGCGCAGGACGGGCTGCAGCAGGAGCCTCGGTCGCGTGAACTGGAGACCTGGAGCCAGGCTCCATGGGAACTGGGGCAACGGGGTTGGTTCCCTGGTGACCAGGGAGAAAAACAAAACGTTCTAGGTAGTCAGTGGCTTGAACATCCAAGTAGGGCCTAAGGAATTTTCCAAGAGATTTCAGATGCTTTTGCAGTGGCCATTCGTTCGGCCAAGGTCTTGGTTTGGGAAACAACCATTGCCGGAAAACACACAGTCTTGATTGTCAAACGAAAACAAAGGCAAGCCAAACAACGCAAGCAACTTCAGGAAAGCCGACAAAGTGAACACGTCCTAAAAAACTCAAATTTGATCAGGGTATTGCTGTTGCGTGCAAATTCGCAAGCTGGCCATCATGATACCTTTAACCGGAACTTCCACTTGTACAGCTTGCCCCGCGTGCCCATTTAGCAATCCGGCAGCACAATGCAGGGAAAGGACAACTTTGCGCATGATCCCATTCCTGTTGCTGAAGGAAAAGGGATGAGTTCCACGGCGAAATAACAATCAAGTCAAGCTGAAACCCGTGGAGTCCATCGATATTCAAACACCCGACCAAACCACACCTATAAGGACAACTAGGAGGGTTCTAAGCAGCATGCATTGAAGTGGCAAAGCAACTTCTCCCCCCCCCCAAACCCACATATGCGCCGTGTCAACAGAGTCAATGTATGTCTGTAAGATGTTGTTGTGTATTTGCATACATAGTTCTTGTTCATGTTGTATGGCGTCCCATGTATGCATTTATGTGTATTTTTACGAAAGCCGATATACACATTTGTGTATCATGGTTGTCTCCACTACCAGTTTGAAGGCATCCTTCACTATCCGCGTCTATTGACCATGGCACCTTAAGAAATATCATACAAACATCTTGAGCTGCCTCCCACTTGGACGTCAAGGGTCTGTAGTACACAGACAAATGAGGGGGTTCTCGCATGCCCTTTTGGCCATATGACATCTTTCAGAAGCCCATGTGGCCAATGCACAAGGGCTCCTGTCCCCAGTTGGCCTACAAATTCCGGCAAAGGGCAGCCACTTCCAGGCATTCCGGCTTCAAACGCCCGCCCACAAAAAGCGTGATTGTTGGCGATGGCAAAGCCCCGCTGGTCACTTCTCTGCCCGGCACTTAGATGGCTCGCAACCTACTACAAGCAAAGGAGAGCACGGCCAACTTCCAGTCCGGACAAAGTGAGGCTTCGCCTTTGTCAAGGGAAACCGAAAGGATCACCGGCCTTTTTGTTTTGGGCCCCCTTCCCAGCTCTGAGGGCCGCTTTTTCCCCCACCTGCCGGGCCTTCGGGGCTCGAAACGGCGAAACGGCGAAACGAGGCCGTGCGCTGCGAGACGCGCCCGGCTTCAAAGGACGGGCGATCCGGCGAAGGACACGCGGCCGGGTGACCAAACGTCTTAAGCCCAGGGGCCCACGCCGCGCCTGAGGCACGAACGCACACTTCAAGACTTACAAAATGAAGGGTCCGGCCACAAAAAAGAAGAGAACTGCAGCAGTCTGTGCCGAAAATACACATGCACATGTTTTTGTGACACGACTCGCAAATAGCTTTGTCTAGCTGGTACCCTGGTTCCTGGTGGTCATTGAGGAATTGTTGCTCAGTGCAGGCAAAATTGAACCGCTTCCGCAGGTGGGCCGACCCAAATCGTGGCCAGGAACAGGTTAAATCCGAAACCAGAACGCTCACAGCTTGCTCACGCAGCTCTGAGCATAGTTGATGGACTTCAGTGCGTCTCCAATCATCTCCTCCAGGCCACTCTATGCTGACTGCGTCCCCCCGGGTTACCCTAAGCCGACGAGACGCCTGCGCTTTCGAGTAAAAAACGCCACGGCCTGAACGCATGTCTGAAATTCATGCCCACATTCACGCTAGGCTGGGATCGCGCTTAAATGACAATCGCGCATTTGGAGGACTTTGTCAAACATTGGTGTGCAGCTCCCTTTTCTGGCGCCAACATGATATTGAGAAAAGGAATCCATATTGGCTGCCTTCTTAACAAATGCTGTTTTGCCACTCTCCTGTCGGAACAAATGGAACCTCGTAGATCCATTCATTGCCTCCGAAGGAAAGGTTGCAAGCCAGCCAAGGAACCTGCCTTATGCACTTTCCAGGTTGATCCCACCACAACCCAGGCAGGCGGGCACCAAGTCAAGAAGCTGCTAACCTGAACTGCTCCAATCGGAAATGGAAAACAGCATCGACCCTAGATGTCCTTCTGGAAAAATACATGGCGCTAGTAAATGGTTGAGACCAAATCGCAACCAAACTAAACCCCAACTGACCCAACAGGATCCATCTCAGATTGAAAACCGTCAACGTAGCATCAAATTCGAACCAAACTTACCTAAAGGACACCTGCCGGTGTAAACCCAAGGCCCTTCCCTCGCGAAGCACCGGTGTCCTGCACAATGTCGTCCGCCGTTTTGATTGCTCGTACTCCTCACGCGGTGGGCCCAACCAAGCTGGACAGTTGGACCCTTCAGGGTCGCGTTGGAGGTTGACTTCTGTTTACAATGAACCAAGCCGGGGTCTTTAGTGTTGACACCGACAACCTGGACCAGGTGGAAAGCGCTCTGACTCAGGATGATACATTCTGTTTGATGCAACAACACAAAGGAAGCTCGCACATGCTTCTGTTCGGGGCTGGGGGGGGGGGGCAAGCTCAGGCATTCTGAAGGATGCGTTCGTGGTGTTCCCTTCCCTGCCTTGTCGAACAGCTAGCTGATTCGAGTAGCCTGCAAACATTTCTATTGACAAACCACTGTCATATCCAAACAAGTAAGAACCCCCCCCCCCAACAAAGGACCATCATGGGTGAGCTTGTCTTTACCAAGCGAGCTAGTTGTGATTTGCCCGAGTTCTACCGTTCATACGATGGAATTTTGATCCTTCATCAGCCCCAAACTAGTTGTAATCCCGGTGCACTTGAGAACCACAGCCGTGTTGGAGCGATCCACTCTGACCCCCCACCTTGCTCACCAGAAATTCAGGGCGACCCGCAAAAACGGGTGGTTCTTCTTTGGTTTCCCTTCAAACCAACCCCGACACTAAAATTTACATGTAAACTTTATTCCCAAAGGCCAGCCCGCCCTTCGTGGACCACTTTGGAGGTGGCTCCCTCTTGAAATTCGTCGCCATGCGCGTGAATCCCTCGGGCCCCATCTGGCGCCGCCAGTTCCCCAATCCCCGCTCCTCCAACGGCCTGGCCCATTATCGCCGGGAAGAACTCGGAGACGCTGGCGCGCTCAGCCTGGCTAGCAGCTCGGAGAAGTCATTTGGCTGTGGGTCAAAGATAGGCACCTAAAATGGAACCCTGGTAAATGGAAACATGGACTAAAACCTGCGGTCCCCTGGTGGTTTCATTTTGATCCACAACCATTTGTGAAGGCCATGGTGTTTCGAGCTTTCGAAAGGCAACTGCACACATATTCTTTACGGGAAAAAAAACACTTCCTTCGTGCTTCCCTTGATTGGCCCCTTGCCCCGGGTGAGTTAGTAAAACGTCCTGCAGCCAACCTCTGTCCAGGGACCCACCGTCCACTGGGCGTTTGCCGTCGCTTGAACTCCGAGCCCGGCATTCCCTCGCCTGCACATCCTCCACATAGGGCACGATTCCTTGGGTGAGCTTGTCCTCGCGCCCCCGGTCTGCGGGGAAACCAAAGCGTGCGAGCGTACATGTGAGTACCTATGGAAAGCTTGGTGATTGACGGCCTTTGTCAAGAAAAAACACCATTAGGCTATGGCAGCTGCCTGCGCCTTGGCCCATCGGTCACAAACACCCTAGAAGATGTTCAACTAAAGCAAGTAGGATTGTGAATACTCTACATGGCATCAAGAGGCAGACTGCTACAGGACGTGTCCATACGAAGTAGAAGAGACAGAAAATCAGAAACTAGAGTACATAAGCTAGGTACACTAGAATCATAGCACATATATAGTGTGTATAATATATATATATATATATAGAGAGAGAGAGCTTCTCCAAACCAATCGGTGTGTATATATATAAACATAAATGTGTATATATATAAACATAAATGTGTATATATATATTTTTATATGTATATATACATTGACATGTTAATATCATGACATTCGCTGGCAACTCGTATACCGCTTGAATATCACAAGGAGTATACATTCATTCATGATTAATGCCCCCTCCCCCCCCCCCCCCCGGAACCTGTGACGACGTCCGCCTAACATCCCGGGCGTTCCTTGAGGTCCTGGGTCCGACCATCCCAACTCTTCACCTGGGCTTGAAGAAACGCGCGCCATCAGATCTGAAGCAACCAACTGGACTGATCAAAGTAGACATGTTGTGGCGGATGCCCTGACATTGTTCAGGGGATCGCCCTTCACCACCGTTTGAAGACTTCTGGAGGCAATCAAGTGGGATGAGCAAACCAAGGGTTTGAACAAAGCACATGAACAGGGAGTTGTTCCTTCGAGTACTGCTGTAGCCTTGCCGCTTCTCACAAGCGCATGCTTGCCGCTAATCACCGCTTTCCAACTACAAGGGAAACCCATCGGTTTCGTTGGCGGCAATATCTCAGTGGGCGATTGCCGACTCAGTTCTCTTCAGAACCATCTCAAACAGGCACATTGCTATTGTTAAAGAGCAACCAATTGAAATGGGGCGGCAGGGCACCATTAACCAAACGTATGCCATGATCATACAACAACGTGCACAATGAGTTGGCAATTGACAATGTGAATGGAACATACATGCACCATTCAGGATGGATGAAGCCCTGAAATATCGGGACAGATCACTTACCAACTGGTGAGATGGTGTCCATCCACAGCATCACCATCGACGTGCACATGTTCCAGGTGGTAACCTCCAATCCAGAATTGGAGAGCCCGCTAACGAGAATACTACGGCTTGATTCCATGTCGATTCTTTCCAAGGGGAACTCTGTTCAACCCCCTGTGCTCGGAAGCCTAAAAAACATGAGTGGACCCCCCCCCAGTACAGGATCTTAGTGAGCTCGTTCCACACAGAACTCGCCACGAGATGGGCAGATGTTTGTTCCGCGCCAACAGCCCAAGTCACGTAGGGCGTCTTCAGCACGCGGCAGGGCCGACCCGTAAAGACCTCCGTGCGAGTGGTGTCCACGCTCTGCGCCTGGTGCCCATTCGGGGTTGCTTTCAAGTATTATCCAATGAACCCCCACGGCACTGGAAACCGATGGCCCATCCAAAACAAACAGGCATGCACCTGCAAAACTGACAGGGAGGAGCCCGCGCAGAACCGATACATACCGATACCCAGGTAATATCATCCGTTCCTGAAATGAGCCACGGTCAGTATGGTTAAAACTTTAAAACTAATATTTGGAAAGTACTTCTTTGAACATCAATGCCAATGGAGGCTATCATGCCAATGGGGCTGCCCCCCCCTCTCTCCCCCAGGCATGTCCCCCTGAAGCCTTGCTTTTTTTCAGTTGTCTCCTAGTATTCACCTTTCTTGCTCCCCTAATATTTTCCCTGGTGCCCTAGCCAGGAAACCTGAGAGAAGTCAGACAAATCGAGCTTGAAAATATACCCCTTAGTATTATTCTAGTATGCTCCTGCAGTAATCCTCTAGTGTTCTCTGACTATTTCGAACTTTATTGCCCTAGTATTCCTCTAGTATTGCACCAGTATTCCTTACTATTCTCTTGGTATACCTCCAGTATTCCCTAATATTCACCTTGAAAGTGTCCCTAGTATTGTCCTATTGTTGCCATAGTATTCCCATAGTGTTGCCCTAGTATTCAGTTGATTTAGTGATCTCTTGGTATACCCGTAGTATTTCCTCACTAGCTCCTAGTATTCCCATAATATTCCGGTAGTACAGGAAGGGGAATACTAGGGGAATACCTGTAGTGTTGCACAGTATTCCTGAAGTATTCTCTTGGTTTTCCGCTAGTATTCTCTCAGTGCTCTAGTAGCTAGTATTGCCCTAGTATTGCCCCGAGAAAAGTCAGACAGATTGATGCCCCTAGTATTTTTTCAGTATTCCCTAGTATTCTCCTTTAGTATTCAACCTACCATTCCCTGATCATTTCTCTAATGTTGCCCCAGTACTGCTCTAGTACTGCTCCAGTATTGCCCTAGTTTTCCCCGAGCATGTACCTAGTACTCCTACTATTTCCTCACTACCCCCTCGTGTTCGAAGGGGATGACTAGTGGAACACCTTCCGTATTATCTACGTAACAAGGCAGCTAAATAGACAACTAACTGATTAGCCAATCGTCTAGCTAATTGGCTTTTAGTATCTAACTGACTAATTAGCTGACTTGCTACCTGTTTTTTGACTGACTGATTGAACTTGCCGAGGTTTACTGATTGAACTTGAAACATATGCATCTCGCAAAGGCACAAATACCCATGTGTCTCAACAGTAGCCATGGTTTCAGTGATTTTTGGAATTCTCCAGGTTTTACATGTGGGTTTTGGAAGGGGGGGTAGAATGCATATATATATATATCATAATGTACATG